CTTTGAAAGAGAATGTACGGAGGCCCTGCAAGGACATAACTTACTTCTTAGGTGTTTTGATTTAGTTCTTATGACTTAATTGTTAATTCTTGTTAATTTACATTTATCAGACGTTTGCAATACTTAATTCAAAAAACGCGGCGTGCAAGATTGAAGCTACATGTAGTTCCAACAAAGAAGAGGTAGGTATATCCCTAACAAAAATTTACTATAGTTAACTACAGTACAGTAAAAACTTGGATACTTTGATTTACTTTGAAACTTTACTGTAGAACTTTTTTGAAGATTTAGGGTCTTTATACTTCTTATATTACATACCAATGATGAAAATTTTTGAAATAATATGTAAATATACAAGTAATATTTCCTCTAAAGTTACATAATGAGTCTAAATCATGTGTTTCTTTTAAGACATCTGTATCTTAAAGCGAAGATTAATGAAAATTATGAGTATAGCGAAGATATGACAACTTAACTTGCACTGCAATGCAAGAAAAGGCTGCACAATATAAGTACCGGAAAAACAAAGGTTGTAGATGTATCTACCGTTTCGTTGTTATCGTGCACGTCAAGGTCACGCCACTCTAATTTTCAGCGTAATCTTATAAACAACATTCAATCGGATCATGCAGATCTTTTTTGAAGATTGTATCAAAATTCTTGGTCTACCGACATTCATTTTTTGGTACTTGAGACCATGGTAACTTTTTCAACTTTTCTGCGCACGCGTACAATAAGGAGGAAAAAGTGAAGCAATATTTTCGTGTTGGGCCATACAGAAATTATTTTTTTTTTCTCCATAAAAATAGATTTTTTAGGTTCCCAAACCTGTAATTTTCTGAAACCTTATACTTTCAGGAATTGAACAAAATTTGCACGGGCCATGCAAAAATTCTATGTTTGTCAATTTTCCCGTTTGTGCGCTTAATGTGTCGCTTTAAATATAAGAAAATTGCTAATAGTCTGTTGATTTTGCAATTGAATAAGTTTATTTTATTTTAAGCTGATTGGTGTTTTATATATATATATATATATATATATATATATATATATATATATATATATATATATATATATATATATATATATATATATATATATATATATATATATATATATAAGGTGGACTTTGGCATAAAGTAGACCGCACTTATTTTGAGGCATTAAGTAGACATTTTTCATTTCTTTTATTTGAGACATTTTGATTCACACTTTCACCCAAATTTATTCTAATAGGCTTCAAAAATGAAAATTTTACCCCCTCAGCCCTAAATGTTGCTTCCTGACAAATATACGACATTTCTGGTCTCCTTAATATTTTGTAAATACATTGGAGGTTTTAGGTAGACATGTATATATTTTATGAGGATCCCGAAGGGTTAAAGTAGACCAAGTATATATAATGCATAAAGGGGACTAGAATATATATATATACATGATTATGTAGACCATTTTCTTTTTTCTAATTATTTAAAGAAAAAACTACACATGCATAAATGTACTTCTCATACCAGTATTTATTGGTCAATTTGCTTTTATCTTAAGTAAAATATTAGGCACTTTAAAACCCAGTATGATGATTCCTTATTTTAACTAGAAGGAACTAATAGGGTGATGTCTATTCATAGACAAATTTTCATGTCCTGAATCTTATGGAAATATAGTAAATGACCGATAGTAATTGTTACGTTAAGAAAATATTTCATCCACCACCAAAGAAACACATTGATTTAAAACTTCGTACTCACATGATGACTTATGGTATAGAATCATCATCTAAGCCACAATCACCTGTACATGCTAGATATGACCTCTTGAAACTATAACCTTGTACTTTTCTTTAAAAAAATGTATTTTAGAATTTTATATATCCAGTTTATGTTATATACTCTGAGCATAATGAACCCTAGGATAATATAATCTTTGAAAGTTATTTTATAGTGGACAAAAATTGAACTTGATGCAGGTTTGTTATACATCCCCAAGTCACAATTATCCCTTTGCCTTGATTTACATCGAGTATAACAATAATGTGATTGCCCGCTTGGCGCAGTGGTCAGAGCATTTGCTCTAGAGTAGTGGAGTAAGGACTTGTTCCTTAAGTCATAGGTACAAATCCCACTGAAGGACGTGGAGACCGGTTCTTCCAATGAAACCAAATTCCCTTGTTGCAGTATATGCTGGGACAAGAAAAGACCTCTCACTGCTCAAAAGTACAGGTCTAAATTTGCAGCCCTCAACCAGCAAGTTGTGGTGTCTCAATACTAGTGAAAAATTCTTAAAGGATGTATAACAAACAAATAAACAAACAGAATTATGTGTTTATCTGAATATTTATTACATTTCTAAACCCTATGGCCTTGACCTGTATTAACCTGTGTTAGGACCATACTCTGAGGTTACAAACAATTATTGGTAAGTATTTAATACTTTGATATACAGTGACTATGACCTTGTGCAAAAGACCATTACTACTGGGTCAAGAATATTTCTGGCCACAAGCTACCTTTGTTTCAAAAGATGTCTACTCACAGAAGACACATAGACTTCACAATTCCAGTAACTTCATTTGTTGTATAAAAATGTCAATATTTCCCCATGCAAAAAAAAAGTTTGTAAAACAACCTTTTCTTCTCATGTCTAAGATCTCTATCCTAAATACACATTTGTCACAGTCACTGTCTACTGAATTCATAAATCTAAAGGTAGTTCATACAGTCTTATTTTAATTCATATTCTTGTGTCTTTAACATCATTACACATATAATTTTTCATGTTTGAATAGACAATAAAAATTGGAAACCATAAATACAATGAATTAGATTTGTTGTAACTGTAACAAATAATGCAAATATGTGCAAGTCATGTAAAATTTCATTTTATTTGTAAATGTGTATTACATTGGTGACATTTGTATACTGTTCAATATATGCATAAGGACTTCTATTATTATCAATCTTCACAACATTAGTTTTGTATAAAGTAATAAATAACTAGCATTTTGTACACAAACATAACATCAATAAAAATAACAATCTTTTACATATCTATAAATATACATATAGATAAGAGGAATAAAACACTATTTTGAAATAATCATTACATTTTCATTTCTTGTCAATTAAAAAAAATGAATAGCATTATTAAACTATTACAACATGTTTTAAACCACAAATGTGTGTTCTAAAAATGCATTAGATACAAAGTGAGATGCATTGATTAACTGTTCTTTGTAAGTTGAAATGAAGTTATTACTTATAAAAATACTTTGCATTAAAAAGCAAATCTTTACATAGTTTATTTATTGAGAATATTCCCTCCAACAATAAACTGGCAAGCTGTAATACAGACTCTGAAATACCTATACCACCTATTTCAAATAGTACAGTTTGCATTTCATCCATGAGAAAACTGACCTTGAAAAAATATAAATGCTTTCTTCTCTTTGAAAGAAACATGTGTGCTATGAAAGGGATATATTAAATAATGTTATTACAAGACATACAAGTAATTTTTATCTTGATAAAAAATGGTGACCTTCTCATGTCAATTAAGAGAACCATTTCACACAATTTGTGCTAGAATCTCATCTACAAGGTGTTGGCAGACAGGCTACCATACTAATACATCCCTATAAATGAGTTGCAAATATAAGAGAAGTACCTGAAAGTCATTCAGAAAAAAATTTAAAAAGCTGGCTTAAAGATGCTACATTTGTCAGCTGAAATGCATCTTTCACAATACATTCCTAGGCAATCCTAGCATATAATTTTGTGCATATCATATGGTATAATGTTTTTGTTGTTGTTGTTTACAGAGCAAAAATAAAAAGTATATCCATGTACAAATGTAAAAGAGGGCAAAACTAGAAATATGTCCATAGGACATGAATGCCCCGCTGAAGGTATATTAATTTTTATTTGCCTGTCTATTGTTTAACATCCCTCTCGAGAATTTTTCACTCATATGGAGACGCCACCTCTTGCCGGTGGAGAGCTGCAAATTTTGACCTATACTCGGCACTAAGGGCCATTAAGCAGTGAGGGATCTTTTTCGTGCCAGCACCTACTGTGACATGGGACCTCGGTTTATACGGTCTCCACGTCCCACAGTGGGATTCAAACCAGCGACATAAGAATCAACTCCTTACTCAGCAACTCTAGAGCTTTAACCACTGCACCATGTGGGCATATTAGTGTATGAAATTTGATGAGAATATCTTAAAATAGTTTCTTTAACATTGAAATCGAAAAAGTTGGATATAGATGATAAATTCTCACCAAATTCTGTTAAGTGCATAAGCTCACATAAAATTATCTTTAATGGTTTCTTTAAAACTAAGCAAAATGCAAATTTAAGAAAAGTGAGGTCCAGGTCACAGGAAAGTTCAAGGTCATACATTTTTGATGCAGTTGAATAGTTCTCACTAATACGCATAAGCAAAATAAGTTTGATAAAAATATTTTGAATGGAAACCGTTTATTTAACACTGAGCTAATCACTATTTCAAGAAAAATGAAGTCAAGGTCAAATGAAATGTCAAGGTCAAAAATGTTGATACAGTCGAATACTTTACATCAGTCTGTATCAGCATATGAAGTTTGACACTAATTTAGGAAAAGTGAGGTGAAGGTCAAAGGAAAGATCAAGATCAAAAAATGTTGATGTAGTTAAATAGCTCTCATCAGTATGTATCAGCAAACGAAGTTTGATTTCGCTATCCTGAATGGTTTCTTTAAAACTGAGCTAAACACTTATTTAAGATAAGTATGGTCAAGGTCAAAGGAAAGGTCAAGGTAAAAAAATGTTGATTCAGTATGTATCAGCATATGAAGTTTGATTACACTATCTTGAATGGTTTCTTTAAAACTGAGCTAAACACTAATTTAAGAAAAGTGAGGTCAAAGTTAAAGGAACGGTCAAGGTAAAAAAAATGTTGATGAAATTGAATACCTCTCATCAATATGTATCAGCATATGAAGATTGATAAAAATATCTTGAATAGTGTCTTTGAAACTTAGTTTTGAACTGAGCTAAAAGCAAAGCGGAATGGAAGGACAGACAGAAGGTTGGAAGGATGGAAGACGGACATGATAAACTCTATATGCCCCAGCCATATTCATGGCAGGGTAGAAAAATTTCTAGTGTACTGAAATTCAAAACTTCAGTAATTGATAATTTGTTTTTTTTTTTAATTTAAATTCTATATCAAAAAACATATACAAACTTTTTTGATAATTTATTCTATTCAAAGCAATAAGAAATGCATCTGTCTGCACTGCTTAAAATTGATAAGAAGGTTATGACATAACTAAAATAATGACCATGTCCACATTAAAAAAAAATATAATGAGTGACAATTCACTTCACCTTTTCTTTAGATTCATTCCATTGACTTTTCTTTCTTTAAAAAATTGTGCTTGTGTACTACTCCATCTCTAAAAAATAACATACAAATGAAAGTTTATGACACTCAATGAACTCTCTCATCCCTTCCTTTACTGTTCAAGAAAAAAAAATGCATACCACAAGCATAGTTTAAACATGTAACTAGACTTTATGATATTTTCATACATAATGTCACCAACTTTATAAAGAATTGTGAATGCATTTCAAAAGTGAGCACATGTGAATTGAATTAAAAGTACCAGTATTTGCAAGTATTGCGAGTATCTCGCAGTTATCTAACTTACAACCGCTCTTTAGCATGGGAGTCAAGGAAGCTCTAAATCTCACAAGATTTCTGGGGCATAACATTACAGTGGTGACAATGGAATGATTCGAACAATCATTATGCCGAAACTACAATGTATTGCCAAGAGTTGAACTCCAAATAGTAGATTGTCAAATAAGGAAAGTTTAGAGTATTTTATCAACTTTCAAAAGTAACGATTTTCATTTAGAATTTAATAAGAAAAGTCCGCTTAGTAAAAAGTATCATAAAAAAATGTAACATATAGGACTAGCTCCTCTCAAAAATTTATAAGGCTGGTTCAGCGCATGTTTAGCAAGATATTTCTCTAGGATTTCTTTCTTATCAGTCCTTATAAATTCCACAATGATCGATCATGTATTCCATTCAATAGTACACTGCCCCCATCCAACAGATGTTTCCTACCTCCATGAAAGAGTTCGGCTAATTTAAGTAATCGCGATATCAAGTATTGTTGTTTATCCTTAAACGTGTGTCAATAAAAAAAATATTTCGAACAGATCAATGCTTAAGTTTTGAGATTATCACCCTTGGTTTGCTTTTTTGTTTTTTGTATGGATGAGAGATTTGTTTATTGACAGCTGCTTTTTCATTAAAAGTGGAACTCAAAAATTAACTTATCTTGTCATTGGTCATTTGCAAAATTATTTGTAAAAAACACTGATTGTACACACAAGTACTCTGAAGTTGATATTAAAAAGATTCTTGAGTTTCTGATTGACAATATCTCTGTGATTTTTAGAGACAAGGTCTTCCAAAAATCTCTTGGAATTTCCATAGGTACCAATTGTGCTCCGTTATTATCAAACCTATTTTTGTATTCATACAAAGCAGAATTTATTTAAAATCTTATACATGAGAAGAAGAAAATACATGCTGTCACCTTTAACATTTAGATATATTGACGAAGTACCATATTGTCACGTGTAAAGGCGTAGTCTTGTTATAGACACACCCCCAAAATTGGGGGGAAAATCCTGAGAAAAATGCAGTTCCTATGGATAAAACGCTACCCCAAAAATGCGGATGTATCTCTTATTTTCACAGCACAACTATTCCAAAGAAAAAGTTTAAAATGTTAAATATTCGTATTATTTCAAAAACGAAAGTAGGATACAACTTTTAATTTTCTTGGAAAATTCAGTTTACATATAAGCTTTATTTATAAGTATTTAAGTATAGTCTGTATTTTAATTGTTATGGTATAAATTAAAAATTAAGTCCCTTATTTTTTTTTCCCTATAACCCTAAGCATTTTACGATATTGTGCTGAAAATGCATTCCAAGCAGGTGTCTGTGTGTACGTAAACAAATCATCCCAAGTGTAATTAATGTCACACTTATGTATACAAGTGATACCAGGTAATTAAAAAGGTGTGTAAAATATTTATCATTAAATAAACTTTACTGATAACAAGTGTATTGTTTAAAATGGCAGTTGTTTCGAAACCAAATGGCCGGAAATTGTTATATAAACAAATATGACCTACATTAGGGTCGAGAGGAGTTAAATTTGGCAGTGATGATATCCAAGTTAGAAAAAGATAATTTATTTTAAATATACATATATATATATATATATATATATTTAATTTTGAATAATATCATTTTAATGGATATATCTTTTTATATTTCTGTTTGTTGATTTATTTACCAGCAATCTGTCATACGTGACTATCATTCAAGAATTGGGGAATATGTAATAAACTTACAATGTGATAACAGTGAAAATCACTCATAAGAGTTAAGAAAAAATGTCCAGAAAAAGGGGTTGAATTTAGTTCCTATGCAATGCACGCATCCACACTTTTGAACAATTTTTCTGAAAAAAAAGTGTGTCCAATACACGTGACTTTACGGTATTAATTATTTCCATTCATATTTCAACACAATTATCCCAATGATCTTGATAATTTAAAGATACCACAGAGTCCAGGGATCAACATTAACTGTTGTCCAATTGCCCGGGGCAAGTAAATTCCCAGTTAAGGCAAGTGAAAATGCCAATGTACTTGTCCGATTGGGCAAGTGAATATTTCAGATAAAAAAAAATTTTTTTTCATATCTTGCAATAGTTTTAAACAAAACAATAACACTTTCTGCCAAGAACATATCAAAAATAGTTTCTTAAACAAGAATAGTTTGTTTTTTCACTCAGAGAACACCAGTTATTCTCGGCAAATGATGTATTCTTATCAGGATATGTGTGTTTCAAAACATAACAACTGTTTTCCTTTAGTGTGGCCTCAGTTTTCCAGAGAAAAAAAATCAAAATAATATATATATATATATATATATATTTAAAATATGAATTTTATTTTAAAGAAAATATATACTGCTGCATGGCAGTGCAAGTTTTCAGGATAAATGAAAGGACAGTGGTATACATGTACATAATTTACAATTGTAGGATAACTGACACATCAACATTTTTTCTGGCCGTTAACTTGCCAATAGAAAGTACTTTATTGCAAATAAATTAAATTACCCAAATTTTCTTCTTTCTAAGGTTTGGGCAACCAAGTTTTGCATTTGGACAAGTCAAAATTTGTTGTCTCAAAGGACAAGTGAATATGAAAGTTAATGTCTATCCCTGGAGTCCGACACATCTGTTTCATATTTTGATAATTTACTATAAAAAGAGGTTAATGGTAACCTAACAACAAACTATGACTAACTTTTCAATCATCAACTTCCCTTACTTATGCAGCAATATACCCTCATCACCTGCATACAGGGTTCATATCTCTTTGTTGATTCGATACGCAAGAGCATGCTCTACCTATGAACAATTTCTAAAACAAAGTAAGTTACTGACAAACAAGTTGATGAAACAAGAATATCATCAGTCTTGTTTAAAGTCATCATTACAAAAGTTATATGGTCGATACAATGACCTTGTTGCTTGTCAGAAAATACAATCTGTCATTATGTCAAGTGCTGATTGACGTTTTAAATCTAATTTTCAGGCCATTATTTACACACTGAATTGCCTACGGATTTTTCTAATTTTTCCCGGATCATGCCAGGAAGCACATGGCGGGTGTGACCGGTCAGCAGAGGATGGTCACTCCTCCATGGTACCTGATCCCACCTCTGATGTTTTAGAGGTCCCTATTGTTCTGCTCCTGAATTGTATTGTTTGAACGAACTTTTGAGCTTTAATACTGTTTGTTATTTCCATATATTTCATAAACCTGCTAGTAGGACATGTTCAATATACTGGTCTACAACTGTTTATTTGGATGCACTAATCAGCTCAAAATTTAAATAATAAATACCAAAAATATAAGAGGAAAAAACACATACTGGAAAAATCTTAATAATACGAAGAAAGAAAAATGGATCTCTAATATATAGGCAACTGATCACTGCACGTCAGGATTCTAAATGAAACACTGACTCTTTCCCCTCGTAATAATTTTAAAGATTCCACTATTTTTTTTAGAATAAATTTGTACAATCTAGGAAGTGTCTTCTCTCAAAGGGATTGATGATTCATTTGTTTTCAATCATCCTAATTAAAACTAGATTTTATAAAACGAAATATGGAGACAATGAACAGTATTTAAGCTCAAAAGTCCATTCAAATTATGATTTGAGCAGTGCAACCTCTACCTCAAAAACATCCGAGGTGGGATCAGGTGCCATAGAGGAGTGAGTATCCACTGCTGACTGGTCACTCCTGCTGGCAGACTCCAGATGATTCTGCCACCTTCATCAAACCTTGGCTGTAACTGTAGGTAACTTGATATGTGTCTCCACCTATCATTAGTGATACAACTGCCTGTTTACTGCTTAGAGAAAAGTAACACTTAGAAAAGGATAATAAACAAGAATCTGATATACCATGAAAATCCTTAAGAGCAGTAAGGAAACACTTGGAACATTACTTTCCAAGAAACATGCATTTAATATTACATGTACATAATCAATTTATAAAATTTTAATTAGGGATGGAAATAAATAATATCCAAACATGAAACAGATGTGTCAGACTCTGTGGTATCTTTTATTTCAAGCTCACTGGGGTATATATCAGGGTTGGTCGGGAAATACCAGTGGTGGTAATTACCAGTGGTAAATACCGGTATTTCCCGTCCCGGGAAATACTACAAATTTTGTCTAAACTGGGAAATATTGGGAAATACAAAGTTAAAGATTTTTATTTCTTTAATTCTTTCAATCTTATACAAAATTCAAAAATAAAATTAACATAAAAACAGAAGATGAATAATATTGAATATGTCTCAAATTGCAATTTAACATATTCAGAATGTATCACTACTCAAGGTCCCATACCCATAAGCATTCTGAAACATTTCCCTGGCTGTGTGAAACTTAAGTTTTCCAAGTCAAGTTTCTTTTCAGTTTTGTAAAATTATTAAGTTTATTAATTATAAATCCAAGAACAAAACAAACTCATTTCAATCCTTCTTTAAACACTGGAGTTATTACAATCAATCATGTTGTTTTAACAAATTGCTCTTGACAGTTTTGTGCTCCTGTTTTGAGAGATAATTACCTTGAGTAGAACTGAAAGGCTTCTTCTTAGGTTTGATATTATTATCCATTTCTGTACTGTATCTATTTGTATCATATTGTACATGTACAGACTGATAAGCTCCAAAGCTTAAAGTAACAATAATGAAGAAAGAAGATATTTATACCATACTCTACAATTAAGAATTTCCTAGATCCCTTTTTAGTTACTTAAAAAACCCAATTGGGATCTTTGGGTTCATTTTATGGACCTTTATAGACTACAACTGACTAAAGCATCAAACAAATGACACTCATGACTGGTATATGAATAAACTGTTTTATAATTATACAAATGAATTACTTGGAATTTTTTTTTAAATCAGGGACAGTGATACCAGGTAGATATCTTAGCCAATAAGATGTCAATATGAATGAAATATGTAGCTATTTCTTATTTCCCAGTATTTCCCGAGAAATACCAGTAATTCCCGGTAATTACCAGTATTTCCCACCGTCCTGGGAAATATGAGTATTTCCCAGTTTTTTGCCAACCCTGGTATATATAGAGTTGACATATGAATGGAAATAACTATTGTTAATTGATAATACATCATCGATATATCTCACGAGTTCAAGACCACAGCAAGTGTTTTCTTCTTCTCATGTGTAAGATTTTGAATAAATTCTGCTTCATATGAATATAAAAAGAGGTCTGCTAGCCTAATAACAGGTTGCAATTGGTACCCATGGGAATTCTGACAGATTATTGGAAGACCTGGTCTCCAAAAACTACATATATATTGTTAATCAGAGACTCAAGCATCCAAAAACCTGTATTACTAAAGTATAGCTCAATATGATCACCAAAATCATCATTGCTTGACATAATATGCATGTATAATCTTTCTTTAATATTAAATACATTTTAAAAGGCCCTAATTAAGCCATCATTCTGACATTTATTTATGCATGATTGTGTATACTTTATCAACAATCTCTGCCACTTTCACACTGATATGGCTACTTTCTGTGTTTCTCTTGTTGGAGAGATATAATCTCCAAACTTGTGTATTGAGTATAATAACTTTCATCCTTTTCATATTGGCCTAGGTGAAAACAGATAATACTACAGGTCACTTACTCAGAAGGATTACTTGATTTTGTTGATAATGTTGATTGATGGTAGTCTGCACAGTAGCGCTAGCAGTTTCTTTTTTACCATTTCACTGTGAAAAAAAAATGTGGAACTTATTAAATATTAAAAATATTTACCACTACATTAGCATTGGTGATATGGTCATTGCTCTTTTTTGTAACAAATCAATTAAACACTGTACCTTTATATAGTACGAATTATACTGCATGTACTTTCAATCAATCTATTTAAAAAACATCAGATTAATTACGAATAGGTTCTTGAATTTTTAGTTTCTGTTGAATTGCGCTGAAATTACGAGAAAAACTTAATTTTGAACAAGCATTTATATGTACAGTATTGTACTTCAAGGGCGTCGGCAAAGGGTAGGCAGGGGCAGCGATCGCCGCCCCAATAATTTTGAAAAAAAAAAAAACCAACAGCAACAACAAAATAAAAATAAATGAAAAATATAGAATTTCATTGGAGCGGCAGAATGTGAAAGCTATTGTTTACGAAGACGCAAGTACATATACCTATACCTGGGGCGTGTAAACAATAGGCAGGGTATCCATCGCTCCACGTGCTGGTTTGCTACAAATTCTTCATCAGACCCACAGCTTTAGCAATGTTTTGAGAAATTGTATTTCTTTGGGGCGGAGATGGGGGTTCTCTACATTTCCTTATTTTTTGTTCTTTTCAAAAACGGGAATCTGCCCGAGTTCGACCTTACAGCAACAAACCGTGTGTGTTGAAGGGGTAGGGAGTCTTTTTTAAGCAAAAAAAAACTATTCTCAGAAAAAAAAGTGTTGAAAGTAGAAAAAAGTATTCCCCCTTCCCCCGCGTATAACAGGCATGTTCATTGTCTATTAGAATCAATCATGTCAATTGGTCGATCGATGTTTGGAAATCTTTGATGAATCACTAAACAATTATCAAATAATATTACAAAGTATGATCGTATGAATTAAAGGAAAATACTAAAATACTGGGCAAAATTATTATTTAAAACAACTTCACTTGATTTTTCTATAATGTCGTACATACATGTATTTCTGCATTTCAAAAATAGAAGGGGTTAAGAGGTATTAATCAGCCTGTTCATTTTAAATTGCATTCTTTCGGCAAGAAACAAATATTATACAGTCATAGAAAAATATCTTTATCTCTTCATAAAGCCTATGTTTAAGGTGACCGTCGCGCTTAAGTTTCGGAGAAATTGCTGTTTCGAGGGGGAAAAAATCCTTTTTAAGAATTTTCCGGTTTTGTTTCATTTATAGTAACTTAAAACTGAGGTCCTTATAGGTCTGGAATTAACAATATTTCGTTATTAAGTATATTTGGCCTGAGATTCTCTTATGAACTTACAGCTTTTATATGTATATATTTATGACAAGAAATGTGAATAAAAACAAATAAAACATTTTTATTTATTTATTTTGTATGTTTAATAATTGTTCTTTTTGAATCAGAAAATACCTTTAGGCTATTGACTTAATAGGAAAAATATCAAGATTTTGGCTGAAAATTTAAGTAGTTTAAGTCACAACAAGTTAGTTAGGACCCCCACCCCCAGATTTTTTCGATCCACTTCGCCTCCCCAATGTCAAATACTTGCCGACACCCCTGTACTTGCATACTTAAATACCTACTACAATTAAGATTAAACAAGCATTCTTAAAGTATTGCATTAGCAATACTAGTCCCCTACCAGCAAGTGTAATCTGGTTCCCACTAAAAATTGAATTGCCACAATTCCATTAAAAATCATTGATTCAGAAGCATAACAAAATGCAAACTTGAACTGTAACTCATCAAGATACACTTACATACCAAAACTCAGCTCAAAATCTGCAAGCGTTTAGAAAAAAGTGCAGAAAACAAATGAGACAGACTGAAAGAGGGACAGACAGACAGATGGACAGACTCAGAGGAAACCTATAATTCCCTCTGGTTTCACTGGTAGGGGACTAATAAAAAAAGTGGGAAAAAGCCACCCTGTTAAGCCCTACTTTCGTCTCCCATGGTGAGCAGTGGAAAAAGGTCTTATGCTTGGATATGTTGTACATGTACTTTGTATCAATCTGTACATGCATAATCCATTGGCTAATGAAAGAGGCAATGTATTCGTAATGTAAACTTTTAAATGTAGTGGTAATGTGTACATTTTTTGCAGCGGTAATGAGTATGTAGCGGTAAATAATTACCATTTTGAAAATGTAGCGGTAATCATGGTAATGATATTCACCTGGATAAAGAAATGGTCTATCTATTCCAATCACATTTTTTACAAGATATGGCACTTCTTATTTGCTGTACATATAATTGTTTTCATTTTCACAGGACTCGATCTAACACTGCTTTTTGGGAATGGGGCTGGGCTGTAAAGATTGGGAAAATAAAGACCTTTTAGGAAATTTTGGAATATCCATTATACGTACTTTAAAATCATATATATTGGGTTTCCGGTCTTTGCTATCAACTAAATTTGTTTTATAAAACAGAGGAATATGAATAGCAAGTTAAGTTATTAAGTATATATCCAGCTATATTTTCTTTAATTTTTGGGAGAAATGACTATTGGGAAAATTAACACATTAATTGGGAAAAAAGGTACCTTTTTTGAATTGAGAGTGAGGCCCTTGAACGACCCCAATTATAGAGAATTGAGAGCCCTGTTTCATATTTGAGAGGTCGATTTATAACCTTCGTTCTTCATTTTTTTAAGCTTTGGGTGTGTGTTGATTACAACATATCAAAGTTGTCAAGTGACTTATCTTAAAGTTATTGTCAAAGAAATTTCAAGTCTGTTAAAATCTTAATGTTTTATTAAATAACTTGTGCCCTGTAGGAAATAAGATTTTGTAGCAAATAATCTTTACAACCGAGCTGCAATTTTCCCCAAGTTATCAGGCTGAAAAAGGGGATGCATACTTAAACCAATGCATATTATATTCGGCAAGATATGGTAACTGCTTGATTGTCACATTTCAGTTTGAAACATGTTACAAGTTTTATTTCAAAAAATGAAAATATTATTGAAAAAGTAAATACAAATACTCATTGACAAAAACTATCTACTAGGGATGGCAATTTCTAACCGATTACTCGGTCGGAACGATGGCAATCGGTTAGAAAATCTGCAATCGATTAGTTGGAAAAAAATTATAATATATGTAAAACTGAAAGCAATGTACTAAAATTCATTTTCAAAATAGAAATTCCTATCTAAATGTTTAATTTAGCATTTTCATTTATTTATTTAGGCTGATTGGGAGGTCATTATGGCTCTCCAGATTAAAATTGCAGGGTAATTGGTCAGTCTGAGATATGTTAATTACTGTTAAAACATCATGTCGTTACCCCGACTGTCCTCTAATTCTTGAATGATAATAATCACCGTTGAGCACCGTGAATTGGTGTGTGTATCTTTTGCAGTTATCTATCACATTAAATTATTATACAAACATTGTAAATTAAGTGATACATTTTATACTTAGTTTTGATTATGGTGATAATGAAGAATGAACTTGTGTGACATCCGCTCTGGAAAATTATCCACAATATTTCAGGCATGGTTCATGGTTTTCTGAATTTTTTCTTGTCTATTGAAAAAAATATGCGCGTAGTTTTATGATCAAGACTAAAGACAAATAGAATGATTTTGACCTCTAACATCTTTTTTTTAAGACTTCTTGTGCATAGGAATAGAGCTACTTGAACAAGAGGCCCATGGGCCACATTGCTCACCTGAGCACACTGGCTAGACTAAGGCACAAATCAGTTCAGTAATGAAAGGGGGGGTGGGGGCTTGAATTTTAAACTACCTGATGATGCTTTCATGTCAATATAACAAATGAATTTGTTGTACTTGAGAAGATTTTAAAAGAATTTTCCCATTTATTCCTTTGTAAAAATTTGATCCCCCATTGTAGCTCCTCCCTATCTCAGGGGTCATCATTTGAACAAACTTGAATCTACATTACCCGAGGATGCTTCCATATCAATAAGACTAACATAGCTTTTCTGTTCTTGAGAAGAAATTTTTTTTTCTATATGTTCTTATGTAAAACTTTCGATCCCCCATTGGGCCCCACCCTACCCCCGGGGGTCATCATTTGAACAAAATTGAATCTACACTACTTGAGGATGCTTCCATATAAATTTGACTCATCATGGCTTTGCTGTTCTTGAGAAGAAGATTTTTCCTATATATTTCTATGTAAAACTTTGATCCTCCATTGTGGCCCCGCCCTACCCCCGGGAGCCATGATTTGAACAAAATTGAATCTACACTTCCTGAGGATGCTTCCATATAAATATGACTCTTCATGGCTCTATTGTTCTTGAAAAGAAGATTTTTAAAGATTTTTCCTATATATTTCTAAGTAAAATTTGGATCCTCCATTGTGGCCCCGCCCTACCCCGGGGGGTCATGATTTGAACAAACTTGAATCTACACTACCTGAGGATGCTTCCGTATAAATATGACTCTTCATGGCTTTACTGTTCTTGAGAAGAAGATTTTTAAAGATTTTTCCTATATATTTCTATGTAAAATTTTGATCCTCCATTGTGGCCCCGCCCTACCCCCGGGGGTCATGATTTGAACAAAATTGAATCTACACTTCCTGAGGATGCTTCCATATAAATATGACTCTTCATGGCTTTACTGTTCTTGAAAAGAAGATTTTTAAAGATTTTTCCTATATATTTCTATGTAAAACTTTGATCCTCCATTGTGGCCCCGCCCTACCCCCGGGGGTCATCATTTGAACAAACTTGAATCTACACTACCTGAGGATGCTTCCATAAAAATATGACTCTTCATGGCTTTACTGTTCTTGAAAAGAAGATTTTTAAAGATTTTTCCTATATATTTCTATGTAAAACTTTGATCCTCCATTGTGGCCCCACCCTACCCCCGGGGGTCATGATTTGAACAAACTTGAATCTACACTACCTGGGGATGCTTCCATGTGAGTTTCATCTTTCCTGGCCCTGTGGTTCTTGAGAAGAAGATTTTTTAAAGATGCTATTCATTTTTCACTAATTCTTAATTATCTCCCCTTGAAAGAGGGCATGGCCCTTCATTTGAACAAACTTGAATCCCCTTTACCCAAGGATGCTTTGTGGCAAGTTTGGTTGAAATTGGCCCAGTGGTTCTGGAGAAGAAGTCGAAAATGTGAAAAGTTTACAGACAGACGGACAGACGGACTACAGACAAAATGTGATCAGAAAAGCTCACTTGAGCTTTCAGCTCAGGTGAGCTAAAAAAGTCAAGAAAATGACATTGTGTAGTTTGATACGATTAACCGGTTAATCGGTCGGAACGTTTTGTGGTTAACCGATTTGCAATTCTGTATACGATTGCCATCCCTACTATCTACTAAGTGTTTAGTATGTAAATTGTAACTGGTTATAAAACTGGTTATGAAAATTTGAACTGGTTATGATCTTTCTCAATAGTTAATAAACCAGTTAATCATTGCCATCCTTATTTTAAAGATACTTTGTGACAAGTTTGATTTAAACTGGTCCAGTAGTTCTTGAGAAGAAGTTGAAAAATGTGAAAAGTTTATGCATGACCCAAGCCCTTGCTCATGCAAAAACATACAAAAACAGATAGAAATATGTTACCACGGTTACCTAAGTAATTAAGTTAACTTATATCAAACCACACATTGTCATATAAATAAGACTAAGAGTAAGTGCTTTTCAAGGGTCCAGATCAGCATTCAATCAGTATCAAAGTATCATGGTCTTTAGAGTTTTGTATATGCCTTTTGTCTTCAATGGTAACCTGTACTTATATACTTAAATATGGCCATTGAGGAGACCACTTATAATTAGGCATAAAGTAGACCAGTGAGAAAAATTGAGTAAATTGAATTAACCCTTGATATCAAGTATATACTGTATAAATAAATATACCATTCTAATGATCTTATTCACTATATGCATCAATACCCTGTATTATATTATGCTGCATATCAAATTAAAACTTATTTATTGTATCACAACTGAAGTGTTGCTGGACTGAAAGACATAAAGATGGACAATATGTGAATCCTATAGAGCTTTATCATTTCATGCAGGCTCTAATTAACATTCAATCAGTGATAAAGTACCTTGCACTTAGATATTTATATTTACCTTTGTCTGCTATAGCAACCTGTACTTATACATATGTTATACTTAAATATAGCCATTGAGGAGACCACTTATAATCGGGCATAAAGTAGACCACTAAGAAAAATTGTTGATATCAAGCATATACAGTATATAAATACACCATTCTAATGATCTCATTTACTGTATGCATCAATACCGTGTATAGTATTACACTGCATAAATTAAAACTTGTTTATTGTGTCACAACTGAAGTGTTAATTGCTGGCTGAAAGACTTAAAGATGGACAATGTGAATCCTATATAGCTTTAACATTTCATGCAGGCCCTAATTAACATTCAATCAGTGATAAAGTACCTTGCACTTAAGATTTTTATATTTACCTTTTGTCTGCTATAGAAACCTAGTTCTTATACTTAAATATGGCCATTAAGGAAATTGCTGATAATTGGGCATAAAGTAAACCACATAGAAAAAATTAATATACTTAATGGGAAAATTTTATTGTACTCACTGTTAATAGCAAGTACATTTGCATGTATTATAGATATATACAGTGGATAAATTCCAGGAAAAATTCAACCCTTGAAGATAAGTGTGAAAAAGTCATTTCTTGAAAAATTACCTTCTGGATAAATGAGTCATTTTTCAAAGAACTATTACGTTTTGTAGTAGAAATCGACCGTCCGGATGCGGAACACGAATTTCTGGATTAATGAGACAGAATGACATGGAAAAAATCTATTCCCGAAAAATAGCATCTGGAAGGCAGGGATGGGGTCAATTACTTTAAAAAGTAATTAATTAAATTACAATTACTTTGACTTTTTCTTCAATTAAATTACAATTAAATTACAGGCTTTCTAAGACATGTAATTAATTAAATTACAATTACTTTGCAAAAGTAATTAATTAAATTACAAATTACATTTTTAATTTTTTTGAAAATTTTTATAATCCTTTTCAATGAATATACAGAACATCATTTATTTGTATATAAGCTCAGCCTCTGCACAAAAAGTACAAGAAATAATATGCTATAGGCATTGTGTATCATTGTGGTTTAATTTATAACATTTATTTACAAAACAATAAGAATCTCTTAATGAACTATCCGCGATCAGTTTGATGCAGTTTCCACCACACAAAACCTACATGTACACAAATTGCATGGCTTATGATATTAGATTAAAAGTGAGTATTTTAATAGAGTAAAATGAGTCGCATCTGTAACCCCTCAAATTAAATATTTCCTTTGAAGGTAACCTGAACATCTTAAATTGCTATTTATGTTGAACAATTTTACTTCATAAATCAGAATTCAGATAGAAAATTCATTCATAAAAATCTGTTTAGATGTTAAAATAATTATCAAATTGAAAGTTTTTCTTTTCTAAAGCTAGCGGAGCATTTTAAACTGAAATAATTATCTCCATTGGCTTTGTCTTCTAAATCATGTAATGAATATCTCTTTAGAGGAGTTGATTTGTTTTGATTGCAATTTAAAGCTGTGATCTGGAGGGCAAGTATCTCTTCCCAACAAGAGAGAACTCTAACTTAATTAATGACACACACCTTCTTTTTCTTTATTATTGATCAAACAACTAAAATTGAAATACATGTACATGTATAACAAATGTGTGTTTCATAGCTGAATAGACCTAAGAAGGGTGGTTCAAAATTCATATTTATAAACATAGAACAAAAAGTGTTCGGATAAACATGGCGCCACTGCATATACCATAAATGACTATGACCTATGGTACATACTGTCAGAGAAAAACAATCAATTAAAGCTGAACACATCTCATAAATAGGCATACACCATATTCAATTATGTATCATCTACTATATCAGCACCGGGGTATACTCTTCGCATTTGTTACACCTGACTGCTTTATTGTCACAGGTATCGGAGTGGAATGGTGACACATGCTCATGCTGGTTATCTTGCATTGCCTTTGTTTATTTATTTTATTGCAGTTACGTGTACTTGTGTATGTTTGTATACTGCACTGACCTGTGCAACTGTTGTAAGTTTCATTGGCATCTTTCTCTCCTGCCATGAAAGAAGTACACAGCAATTTTTTGTTGCTACCAAGAGCTATGTAGCATACTTCAGTCTGTCTATACAGACAGGTGACAACAGATTACACTGAACAGTGATTAAGTGAGTGGCTTATATAGGGACCCTACAATATAGCATGAATAAAGGAATATTGTGGAAAAATTCCTTTTACACAGTGTGTTCAGAGTTAAAATCACTAACTTTAAAGCAAACTAATGGAATATTACATACCTTTTCCCATAATTCACTTCAAATTCCTACTCATCATGTACAGCTACTTCAGAATCTCACATGTATACATTCTTTGACTTTTCTTTAGGAACATTATTTCCTACAATGTACAATCACATTTTAAACATTCAAATATTACTTCCAATTGAACATAATTGGTAGTTCACAAGCTAGAAAGCCCACTCAGTAGTTGGATTGATTGTTTAATTGTATGTCATTTTACATCCTGTTTATTAATAAGAATTTTTCACTAAAATAGAGACGTCACCATATAATGGTCAGCAATCTTTTCAACAGTTTTTTCTAAAGAGATTTCAGGCTGTCTTTACTGCAATTGTCAGTCTACATTACCACCCATTGTGGTATACTGATCCTGATTTGTTTTCAAAGGATTTAAGTTTTAGTTTGTGTGATAACTGGATATCAAAAAGTTTCAAAGTAGAGTGTCATGAGCTCATCAATGCTAATTATCAAAACACTACTTCTAGAAAATCAAAACATTTAAGTTAAATTAACCATTCAAAGTATTTTTTGAAAAGTAAAACAAAGGTCAAGGTCAAGTGAACTGTAATGCTGGTATTTTTCATTATAATTTATGAAAAATTGTGCACATAGCATAGCATAGACTTACCTCTTTTAAATTATCAAAAATATGCTGGATATTGGCACTTCAAACTTTTTTATAAGTAGGTCAAAGGTAAGTTCAAGGGTCACAAGATTGGCAACCATGGTATTTAAAAAAGTCATAGTGCCAAGCAAAATATTAACCAAATATCAAAAACAATTAAACCTCTTACAATTCTCGAGATATAAGGTGTGACAGATGGACAGACAGACAGATGCCAGGTAAATTGATCCCTAGGTGTTACACTGGTGTGCAGTCGACTCACAAAAAATGTTCTAGTGACTTATTTATCATTGGAATGACTAGTAAACACCAAACTGAACTTAACCTGCTTAAGTGAGCCCAGTACAGAGCAACAAGTGCTGTGAACAGCGAGTGAAGTGTGATCGATTGATTGAGTGTTGTTTTATGTCCCATTCGAGAATTATTTCACTCATAAAGAGTGAAGGGTTAAATAATTACAATAAAATGTAAGGAGGCAAGTCTGCCTCACCATAACCTGGTTCTTTGTGGCCCTATTTTTAACCTTCATACCCATCTCCACTGGGAATTCATTTCCTCCCCCCCCCCTCCCGCAACAATCAAGTCATGACTCCATAAGCAGCCAAAGGCTGTAATGGGCAACTAGTTCATTAACAGCTAGGGCTATCAGGAATTCAAAGTCACTGAAGTTCTTTTGGTTTTTATGATACTATCAAACTATCAGTCTATCACTGAGTATCTGCATGCTTTAAAAGTTAGTATTTACTGGTACCCCTGATTTGCTTTAATTAAAGCTTTTGTGTCTATTTTCTGCTAACAAATTAATTTTACAGTTTATAACTAATAAAGCAGCAAATATACCTTACCCCATGTTGCAGATTCTCTTCATCCAAGTAATTGATGTACATTGTACTTAATCTCTTCATCTGTTCATCTGGATCCTTTCACTGCATTCAGACAGTACCAGTAACTGTTATAAATGGATATATAACATTTTTGAAGAAGTTTTCCCATTATATCACAAATATGATATTTTTATCCATATGCCCTGAAAAACTGCTGAATCACGCCGGATATAGTTATATTACACCGGAAACAGTTATGTTGCCCTCCTGAACACCGTTATATTCCCTCGCGTGTAATCATTCTGCATATTAATTAAATCGGGTTCGAAATTCACAGAGGCAGTTGCTAAGCAAACGTAAACAGTTCCGCGAAAATGAAAATGTCTGGAAAACGTCTACGTTTTTTTTTTTTTTGTTCATTTAAATTCAGAGGAACTAGATAGTTTGATTGAGGAGAAAAATTCCGTAAATACAACAAAAGTTATAAGCACAAGTGTCAGCGTGCTGAAAACATTCTGCAATGAAACAAGACGGAATATTTCGGAATTATTTATAGAGGAAGAGAAATCAGCCTTCATAACTTTCAGCTGTCCCCCGTTATCATTTTAACAACAATAGTGTTAATGTTCCTTAGCATTATTATCGAAACAATTGGTACCCACCAATCAACTACATGTATTTAAAAAACAATTTGTATGTTTTTTCCAGATATTTACACAGGTTCATAGTCTTCAATACATATGTCCGATTTTGGTTTTTTAAAAATGTTATATACCATATATTACATGATTTCTCGGGCAACAATACCAGAATATTTGCCCCTCGGTAACAGGAAAGCCATGGAGTGTTATGTCGCCCTCTGCCTTCGGCATCGGGCGACATAACACTCCAGGGCTTTCCTGTCACCTCGGGGGCAAATATTCTGGTATGTTGCCCTCGAAGCCATGTAATATATGTATAATATAACATTTTTGAAGAAGTTTTCCCATTATATCACAAATATGATATTTTTATCCATATGCCCTGAAAAACTGCTGAATCACGCCGGATATAGTTATATTACACCGGAAACAGTTATGTTGCCCTCCTGAACACCGTTATATTCCCTCGCGTGTAATCATTCTGCATATTAATTAAATCGGGTTCGAAATTCACAGAGGCAGTTGCTAAGCAAACGTAAACAGTTCCGCGAAAATGAAAATGTCTGGAAAACGTCTACGTTTTTTTTTTTTTTGTTCATTTAAATTCAGAGGAACTAGATAGTTTGATTGAGGAGAAAAATTCCGTAAATACAACAAAAGTTATAAGCACAAGTGTCAGCGTGCTGAAAACATTCTGCAATGAAACAAGACGGAATATTTCGGAATTATTTATAGAGGAAGAGAAATCAGCCTTCATAACTTTCAGCTGTCCCCCGTTATCATTTTAACAACAATAGTGTTAATGTTCCTTAGCATTATTATCGAAACAATTGGTACCCACCAATCAACTACATGTATTTAAAAAACAATTTGCATGTTTTTTCCAGATATTTACACAGGTTCATAGTCTTCAATACATATGTCCGATTTTGGTTTTTTAAAAATGTTATATACCATATATTACATGATTTCTCGGGCAACAATACCAGAATATTTGCCCCTCGGTAACAGGAAAGCCATGGAGTGTTATGTCGCCCTCTGCCTTCGGCATCGGGCGACATAACACTCCAGGGCTTTCCTGTCACCTCGGGGGCAAATATTCTGGTATGTTGCCCTCGAAGCCATGTAATATATGTATAATATTTCCTTGTCAAAGCTGTCACTTTTTAGGCACAATTGCTGAGTTTGCATCTTTATCAGCATTATTTATTAATGAAATGACAAATTCCATCAGACACTCCTGCAAAAATGAAAACAAAATCTATTAATTTACATATTCTCTTGACTTCATTATTATATAATTGAACTGTTTTATACTGCACTGCAAATATAAAGGGCTGGGATAATACACTTTTGTCTACTATTCTATATCTAATATACTATATTAGGTATCACAATATTTATGCTACAATACAGATCACAATATTTTTAATCGGTTATAATTTTTTCATTTTATATTAAAATGAGACAAAGTTTGACACCATGCATATCCAAAGTCTCTAAAAATTTACACAATTTTAGTCATGTATATGTGTTATGCATATACATTATTATAACAGTAACTTGATCCGAAGAGTCATATCACGTCGAGTTGACAGGCGCGGATCATCAGATCAAACGAGACACGAAGACGTGATACGGCTCTTCGGATCAAGTTACTGTTATAATGATAAATTTATTATATACCCCATTACAACTAGCAAAATATAGTTTTAAAAAAACTTTTGAGATCAATTTTTCTATTAAACAAACCATTTTGTCAAGGAATTTTTTGATGCGCATGAAAAATAACGTCATGTTTCTGTGTACTACGTCATCAGTATCAGAGAGGGGTGATACGGATTCAGAAAACCACAGTGTGGTGATCCAGAAAGTCGGATCACACCGTCAAGTGATTGTACGAAATCTACAGTAAAATTGAGTGATACACACTTGGGTATATAATAAAAGGGTGTATCTGTCAGTATTTCCAAAATTTATCAAGCATGACATTTAAATTGATACAAATATTTTGATTTCAGCTTTTCTTTTTCATGAAGTTCGACTTAAATATTCTTTGATAATTTTTAAATCAAAATAAAATCAAAAACTTTTAATTTCTTCATTTTATTTGCTTGGAAAATAATTATTTTTTTCTTTTGTATTTGTACGAGTATTTAGTTTCAAACTAGTTCTACATGTATATTAGCTAATCAGTAAAAATCTATGTTTGATTTCCTTCAGTTTACATGCCTGTGTGTGCATTTTATTACAAATCATGGGATCTGTGCTTGTAGGTGCACTCAATGTTTTAAAATTATTCTTTATTTGAGAATTATTGTCTCTTTTTTCATTGTCAGTACATGTATATTTAAACCAATATTTTTTGGTTTTACAAAATAATATGAATTCAGGGATAGACATTAACTTTCAGATTCACTTGCCCTTCGGGCAAGTGATCTCAAACTTTGACTTGTCCGAATGGAAAACTTGGTTGCCCAAAATTAGGATAGAAGTTAAGAAAAAAATTATTAATTCTGTAAATGTTATGGAAAGAAAAAAAAAATGTGACGAAATACACTACTGTCAATTTGGCATTTTGAGATACCTGAAAAAAATTGTACAAAAACGTATATCGCTGTAAATATAACCTGTTAACACACACTGCCATACAGCAATAACCCTCCGTTTCCTTTTAATAAAATTCATATTTTTGAAAATTATTTGCGGTAGGATCATTTTGCGATTCGTGATTCTCAGAGATAACTGTGAAGCAACGCTGAAGGAAGATAGTTGCTACGAAACATACTTAGTACCTCTTATCTTGATCAGGATACATCGTGTTACAACGTACTTATATTCTGTGCATGAATAAATAAATAAATAAATAAATAAGAAGTTAACAAAATTTGTTAGACGTAGAGCGTATTTACTACGAAAGAAAATAATGAACTCGATTTTTTAAATGAACGGTATAATCCAGAAACGCTACCAAGAAATTTCAATTGAAAACATTGTCAGTCAGGTGTGTGGGGGGAATCAAGTGTTCAATCTATTGTTTTATTTATAAATTAATGTAAACTAAATATGTACATTTGTATGAGAAAAATTCACTTGCCCGATCGGACAAGTATGTCGACAATTTCACTTGCCCGAACTAAGAATTTACTTGTCCCGGGCAATCGGACAACCGTTAATGTCGATCCCTGGAATTTATATTTTCTTTTTTAAAAGAGATGATGCGAATTATAATTTCAATTTTAATTTTGTTTATATATTGTTGTTGTGATCTCAATAACCTAGATAGAACATTCTAATCATTAAAATGATATTGTCCTACGGACCTGGTTTAATGATAGAATTTGTTCCGTGTATTGGCAATGTAGCAAAATAAGCAAGTTCGATAACTTGGACTGACTGCATTTTCAATGAACAATCCAGAGAGTTCCGAATTCAACATGGTGTGTAAATTTGAAGCGAGGAAAAAAGGTTGAGAAAATGAGTTGAATTTTCTTATTTATATGGATTATTTTTTAGGTTAAAAGGCATAATTATAAAATCTCAAAAAGGTTTGTAATGATTAATTTGATAGTTATTTTCAGTGCAATTTTTTTTTTTCTTCAAAATCATTTCTGAGCGGATCCTTTCCAAAATGCTACATTGCTAGTATATGGGACATATTCCAACTGTGGTGATCGAGGGCTTGTTCCGAGACACAGTTAGATTGTTCTAACTAGCAAAATAACCCAACACATATATCTTGTAAGTCGAACACATGTATTCTGCAAATTCAATAAATAATTCTAAAAAAAAAAAGAAATCTTGTAAAAAGGTATTCCATAGAGAAAATTACCCAGAAAACGTTGTAGCATAACAAACACTGACATATACTTGAACAAAACTTAAGTATGAAAAATAATCAGATAATGGGTCAAAATCTCACCAGTGACCACCTACCCTAATCAACTGTTATCCACAAAAAAAAATTATATACTTATATGTCAATCTACTTCCAAAATTACATGTTTTCCAAGATCTTACAAAATTATTTTTACAGTATGTCTCTTCAAATATTTGTTTTCCTGCTAAATAGTACTGATCATGCTGATCAGACGATAATGGGTGGGTGATATTAAGATAGTATGCCCTCATAAACTTTTAGTCCCAGACCTATGAACCAGTGATTCATTTTGAAAATGGTTATCATGGGTCCAAAGGACCCCCCTTAATGACAACAATGAGTCCCATGACAAAATCAGTGCATCCAAATCCAAGGGTCATATATTAGATATTACAGAGGAAATTCTGGTGAAATATAAAAAGTTATTGCACGAAAGAGCAAATGCTTTATTGTTGCTGTGAGTAGTTCTATAATTTTACTATCAATTGTCCAAGTAAGAGTACATGATTTTGTGTCATAAATATAATATATTGTCAACTGTGCACTTTGGTTCTATGTTTAGATCGTACATACGATCTCACACATTGTAATATATCAGTCATAAAA